TGCAAAAGAGAACAAATTCTCACCTACTGCAGCCTCACCAGCATTTTGGAGCAGATGTTGGTGAGCTGCTCTCTAGCAGGGTGCATGAATATCTCCATCCAATGTCCTGTGGAGCTGCTGATAGTCTCCTCCTTGATTTAAGCACACCTTGGATCAGTTCTAGTTGAACGAAGTACCTCAGGAACAACTCTGGTGTTAACAGAGAATTTTCTGCTCCATCTTTCACATAGGTTTTGAAATAAGGCCCATTAAAATCAATTACCTTCTTTTCATTAACTACAGTTGGCTTTGGATCAGGCCTGGGAAGATTCATGTCTTCCAGAAATGCCATTGGATGATTTCTTTAAAAAGCACTGAACAAAGATATACAACCTCATGGGCTGACTGGGGTAGGGAGAAAGTCCCATCTCTCTTTTATACGGTTGGCTTCCTGCTCATATCAGCATTAATTTAGATAATTAAATTGCTTAGTTCAGTAGTTGGAAGAGGCACCATCAGGCCACTCTACTAACAGGTCAGATGTATTAGTGTCCAGGGTTTTCTTCTCTTTATGTGTGTGAAAAGCTGTATTATTGGATACTGTCTTTCCCCCCCCAGGCTAAGCTCTTCTTCAGAGGACGATACCAAAACCATTTAATATCACATTATTAATGCCACCATAGTTTCAGCATTTATATGGAATACGGTGATGTTCAGTGGTAGCAGGCGAATGGATGAAATTAAGCACAATAATAGCATCAGTCCCCCTTGAATTTAACAGCATGATGAACAGTTCAGTGTATTATTTAATAATACATAAGTAAAGGCTCAGATATGTTAAAGAGGAAACTAAAGTCCATAACTGGACATGCTTTTTGCATTATGCCTTGAATCACGTTGTACTGTCCCTGTGGGGTCTTTGAACTTCGGCTTGCATGAGGTAGAAGCAGTTTTATTAAATCACGCTCCAAAAATGCCATCTTACCCTTGACTCCAGTTGTGTTTTGTTTGGTTTTATTAATATTTGTGGCTGAATCCCTCCTCTGAAGGATGAGAGATCACAGAAAACGTTCTGTATTTTTCCACCTCTGACTCACATGGTTTTTGCCGTTGGTGACATTTCTCAAACCAGGACAGAAGAGCAATCGCTGGAGAGGATGAAATAGGGACTATCCAGTGCTTGTGCTTAAATGCCTTGTCCTATAAATGCCATGAAGTTTTCTTCTCTGCCACATTCTTTGTACCTGCCCCTTCTTTTTCCTTTATATTTCAGGATGCCATTTCAGGTTTGCTTCTGTTCTTTCACAGAAGCTTTTCTTCCTTGTCCCCTGAATTATGGTGATGTAACAGCTAATAGAGAGTCTGAATTTCACCTTCTTGAGAAGCGAGGTTAGAACAAAGTCACTGTATGTCCCTTCAGGATCAGGCTCTGGCAGGACAAATACAGAGAAGGATAAAAAACACCATCATCTTATTCGCAAAATACAGGGGTTTAGTTTCCTAAATAAATTGATGTCAGGATAATCTTTGCCTTTGTTTCTAACAGGAGTAAATCCCATGATGAAGTGCAGTCCAGCTTTATGGTTCCTTTCTGGATATGTATGTGGTACTTTGGAAGGCCAAGTCTTAGCTCTGTTCCCATCCTCAAGGGCTAAAGCTCAAGAAGACAAAGCAGCATCCCTCAAGAGTACAAGGGAAGCCCAACAGTGAGCAAAATATTCAAGTACTTTTGAGATGAGAAGACCCAGTTCTCCTTCAACTCTTTTTCTTTTGAATGCTGCTTTTTATAAGCATTCATTTCCCAAAGCATTTACTTACCGTCCTAAAGTAAAGAGGCCTTACCACGTATGCTCACTGATCTAAAACTCTATACCAGCCCCCCTGAAATAGCTATCCTGAAGCTGAAGGTTATATAGAGCTTGTATCTATCTTCTGCATGTTTGCTCAGCTGTGAGTCGGTATGAATAGCTTAGTACTATGCCTGTATTTTAAGTGTAGAGAGCTGACTTCAACATTTACCAGCATACTTCTCAGCCTGGATGCCATTCCCACATCATGTTTGCATGTAGCCAGAATTATCCACCTCTTTTTTTTTTCCCATTAAGCTATTAAAAACAGGGCCTCAGACACAGAGTCCACTGTTTGGTAATAAACTCAGACGTGATAGGATTTGTCAGTTCTTTTTGCAATATCACTTAACACGTCTGAATGTGCCACAAGGGAAACCCAAAGTGATGTTTGTGAGATAAAAGGGGAAAAAGAGGTATTTTTGAAGGATGTACGTTCACTTAGGCCACTTTGAAGAAAATTATTCCCACATGAGTGGCTGAACTAAAAATAATGACAATAAAAAAATCCACTTTGGTCATTTGGAAATAGGGTCAACTAAACAGAAGTTCTAATTCTTGGATTGCTCTGAAGCCTAAACCATCACACTTCTGGCTCCTTTTCGACCCTTTCTTCTGGAAAGGGAAATGTTGGTCAGCTGCTGTAATCTGAGACTGGGATGAGACAGGCTAAGGTGGGAAAGGAATGAGTGTGGAAAACTCATAACTAAAAAAGGCTTTATCTCCAACCATTCTTCTAACACCCCTGAAGACTGCCTTGCCATGAATTGAATCCTGTTGATGTGAGTGGGGCAATTTTCTCTCACTATCTATACATAAAGTAGCTGCATGTTTAGAGACTTGTTTCAACTCTTCATGCTATAAAAAATAGATAAAATAATGTATTTTGGCCTGAATGCAAGAATAATATTGAATCACGGATGTGTATGAAAGCCACCACAGGTTATAAATACAGATTTTAAGCAGATGTTATGATTTTATTTGTTTTTTTTCCCACTATTTTTAGCCTAAATGACTGTTCTGAGACACCTTTCAGCATTCATAGCGCAGAATTGAGCTCTTGAAGTGTTTTTTTGTGGAGCAGAGAGGAATGACTCCTTAGAGACGCAGCTCTCAGACCTGGCCAAGTAGGCAGGTCCTAATGCTGGGGCAGAAGTCACACATGTACCAAGAGATCCACATCCATTGAGCTCCCTGTCAGGCTGCATCCTCTGCCTGTTGATCCAGCATCCATCTGTCCATCCGCCGTCCTTCTGACTGACACCAGCTGGTGCTCTGCCTCTTTTATCCTGGCCTCATGTGGAATAGCAGCTGGCAAAGGCTGTTTTAATACTGTATTTACAAAGCTTCACAGTGATGCAAGCCCAGACACATTGAAAAGCTGTTTTGAGCACCCAGCTATGAAGTGCCGTACGGCAGATCTGGTTTCCCATCTCTCACTGCTGCCACTAACCTGCTTTAACATCCCCAGCACCAGAAAACAATGTTTCCTAAAAGATACACGGGAGGAAAAACTTTGGCTTAAGCTCCCATAGTTATTTTAAGTAATGCTCGCCCTGATCCCTCTGCAGGCGGTGATATTTTCATGCCCTTTTTACCCCGTAACCTTTTCCAGCTCCCTTAAACCTCAGCACCTCATTGTCTCACAGGGACACCCTCTGGTTGAGATATAAACTGCAGCGCCTTTGGAGGTGGGGATGATACCTGAGCGATCATGATTTTTCTTCTTTAAAGTATTCCTTCTTGCATTTATGTTCTGCTGCTGGCAGATCATCGCAAATCTCATTTGAAGGGTGCAGGGTTTATTAGATATATTCCTTCTCTTTGTCTGCATATGATATGGACTTGTGAAAAATAGGAGCCTGTATTTTGTCCTGGGAATAAGGATTTACAGCTCATCTCAACAACTGCATAAGATTTCCCCGTTTTTATTTCCTAACCCAGGATGTCACACACTTTATTTCTGATACATGGTAGAGATAGGCCCAGCATTTGGCTGATCAAGGCTGGTTTTGAACAAATGCTGACACCACCGTTCTTTCTGTCTGTGATTCCCACAGAACGCTATTGCTTTGAACAGAAATATCCTAGAATGTGTAATCAGTGATGATCTACAACATACAGTTTCCCTTCATGCCTCTTTTACCCAGCTGCTAACAGTGAGAAACTGATGTGCATGTTAACAGATTGAAGAAACAGAAATTCCTTTAAAAATGGATGAAGAAATCTCTTGTGTTTGAGAGGAAAAGGCAGATTCAGGAGCAGGGAGAAAGTTTTCCAGAATGATTCCTTGGAAAGCTACAGAGTGGAAACTGTTTTCCCCTGTATGTGTACACAGTAGATAGAACTGCAGTGATTATGTGATGGGGGTTGGAAATAGATGATCTTAAGGTCCTTTCCAACCCAAACCGTTCTTTGATTCTATGATCTAATAAAAAATAGCAAGACAACAGCAATAAATAAATAATAAAATTAATATTATAAATGTTGATCTAGTGTTAGAAAATACAGTTAAACTTTTAACAGCCCAGCCACTTTACATGCCTTGTTACACCACCACCGGCTTCAGTCAAGGTAAAGTCAAACCAATGACCTTAAACTGAAGATCATCCACCTAAGCTTTTGCACTTCTTTAAACTGAAAAGTTGAAAGGTGTGTTTTGAAGCTGCTGAGTTTACTCCTATAAAGAAGGATTGAGGGCAACAAATATACATTTGAAAGCAGCCATGTATTTTTAGCAGTTGTCATTTCTGAGGCTGTGGGACTGAAAGCAGCAGTGGGTGAAGCAGCAACCGGTTGTGTGTGATTTGCAGTGGTTTGTATCTCTGCTCTGTGTTGTGTATCTCCTAATGATGAATGTGTGGGAGGGCCAGGTCAAGAATAGTTTCCACTCCAGTGCGTTGATTGTATACTTGGCAGTGGGCTCAATTAAAGTATAATAATCTGGTAATCTCCCTCCTGTTTCCATTCAGGCTGCTGCATGCTGAATAGAGCTAGTGAAAGAGTATAGCTTTTGGAAAGTAGGTGAAATCCCGCCTCTTTGTCTGAGCAGTTTGTGTCTAGTTGAGTAAAATGAAGGCGGAAGAGACAGCTCTCCAAAATGTTGCTCCATGACTTGCACCATGACTGCTGTTTATTTCTGAGGTAACCTTTGCTGTTTATTTCCTTTTCTAGGCTACGGATTGGATTTCTAAAGAGCTTCTCACCACAGAGAACAGACAGACTAATGTGAGAAAGGAGATACGGAGATGTCCATGATGGGAAGATGCTGTGTGCCCCATCTCCTGGTTCTTCTCACATTTGTGTTCAGCGGGGAGCGAATTGAGGCACAAAGAGCAGGTATGTGCAGTTTGACTTACTGCCCATGCTAAGTAGCTGCTGGGCCTTTTACATGGTTGAGAAGCTATTATTACTATGAGGAAAACGATAGAAAAAAAAAACAAGCGAAACATTTACTGCTGAAAAGACATAAAATAGACTTTAGGAATGGAGATAGCCTGGGGATCAAGGTTATGATTTACGTAGGGTCTCTTTTCTGCCACAGGCTTAATGGTTAGCTCAGCTACCCACAGCAAAGAGAGCAGCACACAGTTTACTATGGATACACTTCATGTACCTCAGACTGGTATGGAGACCACTTCATCAGTTGGAGTCAGTGGATGCCACATTAGAGTTGGTGAATCTTCTGTCTAGCTGGGACTTTCCTAGTTTGCTAAACAGGGCCAGGACACTGTTCATACCCTCCTTGGTTCATATGCTCGTACATGGTGATAGGATAAGGGGTAATGGCTTAAACTGAAAGAGGGGAGATTTAGATTAGACTTTAGGGAAAAATTCTTCCCTGTGAGGGTGCTGAGGTGCTGGCACAGGGTGCCCAGAGAAGCTGTGGCTGCCCCATCGCTGGCAGTGTTCAAGGCCAGGGTGGACACAGGGGCTTGGAGCAAGCTGCTCTAGTGGAAGCTGTCCTTGCCTGTGGCAGGGGTTGGAGCTGGATGAGCTTAAGGTCCTTTCCAACCTAACCCATTCCATGATTATATGATACTGTATAGCTGCTAGCATGCTCCCTGGCATGGCTTTTGGCCTGTGCTGGTGAGCACTCTCCCCAGAAAGCCACTGAATGGTTTGCATTAGAGGATGATGCAGCTAAAGGACTGTTCCTATCAGCAATCTTGACAAGGACATGGCTTTTCTTAAGTAGTAAGACGAGTTGTCTGGCTGCAAATGATGCTGCATCTCAGGGACAGAAAATGGTTGTAAACCCACAATTTACTGGTGTAAAAGCCCAAAGTTACTTTGAGGTCGAGGTTTTCAGTCCCTTTTTCTAGGAAAAAAAGCTATTTTGTACGCTTGGGTAATTTATAAGAAAGGAAAGGCTTTTTTAGACCTATTCTTGCTCTAAGGAACAGCTACTTTATGATCTGTATAAGGCTTTTTGGATGAAGTTTAGCAGGAGTAAGTACTTAGTAATAAACCAAAGTGAAATCTCATCTTTTATCCTACCTGTGGATCAGTCGTAGGAAATGATGATGGTACCATTTATATGTTCATTCTGTGATTACTTTAAATAATTTTGGTCTTACGGCTTGTTTGTGAAGTATTTTTAATAGCAATATTGCAAAACAGTTGACTCAATGTCTGAGTGGATGAACACAGCTCCTGGAATTATGCTTCCAGAGAGTATTCCTGTAATTACAAAAATGAAAGTTCACTTTCTATGAATTATCTCCCATGTTCCCTTAACAGGAACTGATTCTGCCAGTAAACAACATCATTATAGCATTCTTGGAAAACAATCAATTTTTTCCAGCAGTGGACACTACCATGCTGAAAATGCAGATTAATATTTACTAAAAGCTTTTCTGCAGCATTTCATCTCACTGCCATCAGGTCTGCAAGCAAAGAGGCTCTAAGAAAATGATCCTGAAAGACCATCTTTTTCTTCCCTGCAATACTGCTTGAAATAAGCATCATTTTTAAACCTTCACCCCCTCCTTGTTCTAAGGCTCATCACCCCTGAACTCAGGATTCATTCTGCCTGTTCTGTTCCTTTCTAAATTGCAGTCATCTCACCTGCTGAGAGTTGTTAAAATGAAGGAAGGTCTGTGCCTTGCGGGTTTTATACTCAACCCTTTATGTTCTTTAGTTAACCTCACCTAATATTCCTGCAGACAGAATAGTTTAATTTAATAATGAGGGTTTTTTTTTTTTGGGGGGGGGGGGAAGTGGATATTTCTTGCTTATTTTTTACTGTTCTGTATTCTATGTAGATCCTGTTTTATATTCTGACAAAATCAAACAAAACTACACTTCTCTTTTCCTTCTTCTTTCCTCTTTCTCCTTTCTTCTTCCTTTTTCTTTCTTCTTTTATTTTCTTCTTTTTCATCTTTATTCTTCTTTCTTCTTTCTTTAATTATTATTACTATTATTGTCATTATTATAATAATATTTCAATTATTAATCTGTTCTTATCTCAACCCATGAGTTTTCTCACTTTTACCCTTACAGTTCTCTTCTTCAGATTGTTATCAGTGGTCCCAGTCCCATACGGTTAGGCTTTTCCCATAGACACCTATGCAGCACTTGGGATGCACTCTGCTACAGAAGTTAACACAACAACAGATGATGCTCATTTTTCATCATCACCTGCAATACACAGGGTGTATATTCCGCCACTCTCACAGCTATCACGCATACCATGAGCACTGACCTATAGTGTTATGCTGACCTATAATGCTTATACTCTTATCTGAAGGCAAATAATCTTCATGTAGCTGAGCTACCCACGCTCTTTTCCAGTGCAGGGGGATATTCAGGATTCCTGTCCTCTTCAGGGCAGGTGCACAGCCCCAGCAGGATCAAAAGCACCAGTGCTGATTCATGAACCCTTAGGTCAGATTTGGTCAGGGTCTCAACAGTCACAGCCTGTCCCACTCCTTCCAGCCAGGGAGCAGGGAAGGCTGGGGAATGGCAGCTAGGCTCAACTGGCAATCCAAATACCAGGCAAGTTCATAGTGATGAAGCAGGTCCAAGACCAAGCCAGGAGCATGAGTCAGGGTCCAGATCAGATCCAAGGAGAGCATCCAGGGTCAGCTCTGCTCCAGATAAACACATAAAGGTGAGGCAGGTCTGAGGTTAAGCCAGGTGGTCAGTCCATGCTTCAGGACTTAAAAGCAGCTTCCAGAGGAAGAAGAGACAGGCCTTTCTCGAATACTTCCAGCAGAGCTTTCTGAGGAGCCCACCCAAGGTCAGGGAGCCACGGGAGATAAACCCTGGAGAAGGGGGTTACTCTCAGGGCCATCAGGAAAGGATTTCAAGCTTTCACAGTGACTCTTTCAAGCATCTCCACTTTGTTCATAGCATGGAGCAGACCTGACTTGATTTCTGATGAAACTGCAGTGGAAGATGCACTTCATTATTAATGGGTCTCAGTCACTGATGGGCATTTAGTTACTGGAACCTGGCTGGAACTAGTCTGATGTGAGTGAAAACATGCAAACTCTACAATAGGAATGTCACTTTTTAATGTATTTAGAGCTAAACTGTCCTCGATGAGTATATGCTTAAGTTATGTATTCTCACAAATGGTCTGACCAAGAAAGGAGGCTTGGTCAGTCCTGGTCAGAGCCCAGAGGAGGTTAACATGGTGGTACTGGGAATAGTTGGGAGAATCAGGGTTTTGCAATAAAATAGGAATGAACAGAACAGATCTACTCTCAGTGGGTGTGGGTAGATGTGGTTTACCAGCTAAGGTCCTGGTAAAGCAGTAGGATTTAAAAGCAATTGCCAATGTCTTAAGGGCCAGATAGAACAACTCCAGTTCAGATGATCACAGAAAAGCCTGTTACTCTGGGAGAAATAAAGTGGCACAGGCACTGTTATGGACTAGCTCTCTGTCTTGTACCATGTTATGTGTGCTTTGGGCTCCATATAATTGGTCAAATTATCAAGCTGCTTTTCAAAAAAGTGGTTAAACTTTGTGAGACAACATGAGACAAGCACTACTGGAGAAACAAAGGTTGGTGCTTGTGACAACAGAGAAATTGCCTTTGTAGAGCAGCTTTTTTCATGCTTAAAACTCATAATTTGTTAGGCACTATGGTCTATAATAGTGAATTAAAGAAACTAATACATGCATATGTATTTTGTCCAGTTGGGGCATTATATTGATAAATCTTTGACATCTATGGGACGTTTATCAATCTACAGCCTCCTAGCTTCAGAAACTGCTAGAAAACATCTCCTGGGAGATGCCCTTTCTTGGCAAGAAAGTGACAAATATATGACCAGTCTGACTTCATAGGGCAAGCAAGATGCAATTAGAATAGATTTGCCTTTTGGATTACACAGGCCTCAGATTACAAATATCATGGCTGCAGGCAAAAAAGTGGTTGTGGGGATAAGTGAACTTTTTCCTTACAAAGCGACTGTCCTTTGTTGTCAAGGAAGCCATCCCGGTATTCAGTGAATCATCCTTTAGTCAACAGTCAATGGCAGAGAGCCTCAAAATTAAAATAATCTTGTTATAAACTTGCTTCACCAACATATCATGCTGAGCAAAAGAACTGCTACTACCTAAGCATAAATCAATCATCATGTTAATGGAAGAGGGAGCATGAGAGCTTTGCTACTCAAGGTCATGATTGACATGGGCAAGTTCAGGGCAGGTCTCTTGATCTGCCAGGAGAGCATGGCCCGAGCAAAGGCACTGTAATGGAGTTTGAGAAAAAAAACTTAATATGCATGCAGATGGTGTAGGAGAAAGACTGAGCAGAGGCAGTTAGTAGAGCAGGAGGAGAATGGGTTTGCATTTCAAAGCAAAGTGTGTGTTCATCTGTAGATGTCCTGAAACAGATGAGGTGAATCACAAGGAAGAAAGGCGGAGAATCTGCACTTTCTCTGCAGGTTAAGGAGAATGTTTGCTGCCTCCTCTAAATTGCTCACTAGGGAGCCATGCCTAGGGGATATTTGGTATGCCTGGTACTCTTCTTTCATCTTCCCTTAGCAATGTTTTCTGCCGCTCCTACAGGTTGCAAGAACGTTCACTATGACCTTGTCTTCCTCTTGGATGCCTCCTCCAGTGTTGGAAAAGAGAATTTTGAGAAAGTTCGGCAGTGGGTGTCTAATTTGGTGGAAACTTTTGAGATCGGCCCAGACAAAACCCGTGTCGGTGTGGTGCGATACAGCGATCGTCCGACCACAGAGTTTGACCTGGGGAAGTACAGAACCCGTGAGGAAATTCAAGCAGCTGCACGAAACATTAAGTATTATGGGGGTAACACCAATACTGGAGATGCTCTCAGGTACATCAACACCTACAGCTTTTCCAAAGAAGCTGGTGGGAGACTTAGCGATCGAACTGTTAAAAAAGTGGCCATCCTTTTGACTGATGGAAGGAGCCAGGATCATGTCTTGGATCCCGCCAGTGCAGCCCATCAGGCTGGGATTAGGATCTTTGTTGTGGGTGTTGGTGAAGCCCTAGAAGAGGAACTTGATGAGATTGCTTCAGAGCCCAAGTCTGCTCACGTGTTTCATGTCTCCGATTACAACGCCATCGATAAAATCCGGGGGAAGCTGAGAAGACGTCTCTGTGAAAGTAAGTAGAGCTCCCAGCTCTTCTAAACAGTTAGAATTGTAATAGATTCAGTTACCATATAGGTATGAAAAGCTGTGATTGGCTTGTTTTGTGGGTTTAAACTTAAACAGGGGAAGTTAAGTTTAGATACAATGAAGAAGTTCTTTACTGTGAAGGTGGTGAGGCACTGGAACAGGCTGCCCAAAGAAGTGGTAAATGCTCCATCCCTGGCAGTGTTCAAGGCCAGGCTGGACAGAGCCTTGGGCAGCATGGTCTAGTGTGAGGTGTCCCTGCCCATGGCAGGGGGGTTGGATCTGGGTGATCTTAAGGTCCTTTCCAACCCTAACTATTCTATGATTCTATGATTCATGCTTATAATTCTAGGCTGATAAATCTTTATTTTAGTGTCTTCCACTTTGTTCTACTCTGTAAGGAATCATTTTATTACCTTGAGTGTGATAAAGTGATTACTTCTAGGATTCTTTTGCCCAAGTCAGTATTCACTATAGGTTAACCGTAGCCCATATTATGTATTAACTATAATAAGGGGATAACCCTTCTTACATCTGCTATCTCAGAGGCATTACCACCATCACTGGTGGGCTCGGCACTGGCCAGTGGTGGGTCCATCTTGGAGCTGGCTGGAATTGGCTCTGTCAGACATGAGGCTTCTGGCATCTTCTCACAGAAGCCACCGCTGTAGCCCTCCTGCTACTCAAACCTTGCCATGCAAACCCAATATGAGGCTGCTAAATGGATTGGTTTCAGCGTAAGGACAAAGGGAATCAGACAGCTATCAAGGAACATTAGTAAGGAATGAAGAAGAGTGGAGAAGAAAGGAGGGAATTAGCTGAACAACAGCAAGTAGATAAACGTGCACATATAGCAATGACTGAAGCAGAGTTGTAAGGACATTAACAGTGACAAGGGGAATTGGGTATTGAGGTACATGGAGCACATTGCATGCAGGTGGATTTTATAAGTAGATGCAAGGCAGAAAGAGGAGTTATCAATTAAGGCAGCAAACACAGGTTCAATGGACTGGGTTGCACAGCAACAGCAGTTATAGAAGGTCTGCTGTAGCTATTCCTGGGGGGCGTTCTGATCCAAGGACTCTGTTGATATGGTCCAACATCCCTAGATACTTCATTCCCACCTCTATGGGGGTCATCTTCTTCTCAGCATCTGTCCTCAATCACTCTTGATGCAATTAGAGCCCAGTTTTGTTCTGATTTAACTGGATATCAAAAATAGTTTACTCTGTTCCTCTGTACCTCATTTTTTTCTGCTTGGAAAACCATTATATGTCTTTTTTTCCTAGACTTAGAGCAAGGAAATGGCTCTTTGGCAGAATCATTCTTGACATACTTAATTTATTTGACATACTTAATATAATTAATTTATTATTAATTTTATTATTTACTTTCTTTAATCCACTGTTTTGCATGCAAAATGTTTTTAATAGGCATGATGTTTAGTTCAGGTCTAAACAAATAAATTCTTGCTGTCACTGAAGCTGGCTACTGAAATAGAGGATGGGATCAGCAGAAATATTAGTTTTGAGGTCAGATAACTTCTTTGTTATCTGAATATGTGAGGTGGAACTGTTCTGGGAGGTGAGAGAGGGCTGGTGCAGAACAGAACCAAGTGATTTCTTGTGCCTCTTCATGTTAACACAGTAGGAATAGGAAGAGAGTTTACTGTAAGGGCTATGCCCTATAGGTATTTAGAAGGTAAAGCCTTTTACAGCTGTTGTAGTTAACTCTGTGGTTTTAATGACAGCTGTGCATTAACCAGGACCATGCACACCACCAGGTGGGTGGAGGACGTGACAAAGGCACAAGCCAAGCTGCTGTTCAGTTCATGCACATCCTAAGACAAAAGCACACGTTGTCACAGCCAAGCTAGGGTTTTAATAGACATAATCCTTGGAGGGCTCCTGGGAGACACATGAATGGAGGAGAGGAAATGGTAGGAGTGTTTTGGTTGTACTGAGCAGTGATGAGTCTTCCAGTCCTCATAGTGCTGAGACGTGGAGTCCTGAAGTCTTGTAAATGCTGCATTTCATGCCAACAGCTGTTCAGAATCACTCATCTAGGGGCTCACTGGACATCTGTTCTAGACTAAGTCATTCCATCTTGCTATATTTGACTGAATTTATTGCTAGGACAGTATCATTAAGTGCATTAATAGCATTTTAGCTCTCATTTGATCTTGTGGAAACAAGCATAGCAGAATTGGAAAATACCATGTCTGCTCAGTGGGACATTGTGGCAGTGGGAGATATTTTTGCCAAACCTCTCCATTACAGTCTGAACTATAGTTAGCAGGCAAAAAAATGGGTGATGCTTTCACGGGAAAGCAGCAGAGGTACATTCTGCTAAAGATTTCAGAGATGCTACGTGCTTCCTAAATAAGATCTCTGCTTATATATTGTAGAGATAACAACAGGCAGCTATGTTGGTAGATTTAAAAATACACCAACATCTGCTCCTTGTAGGTAAACAGTGGCTTTATGCTTGTCAAAGAGAGCTTTTTTTTTTTTTGCTTTATTTCAACTCAGATTTAATTTAAAGCTGGATTTTATGTTACTGCATGTACAGAGTTTTCAACCTGGTTTGAAACTGGTAGCACTGTTTAGCACTGACATTTAAGCCTCAATGCAGAAGATGTTGCAATGGTGACCTAAAACATACATACCTGCCTAGAGGTAATTGTTTCTAAACAACACCAATTGCAGTGCTTTGGATGCTGTCATATTTGGGTTTATTCTGTTATCCATAAGTGAGGCAGGTGATAAGATACAGTTTTCAAAGCTGAGGAGAAGGATTTCCCCAAAACATTCTCAGCTTTTACTGGCTCCAGAGAGCAGAGCCTGTGACTTAGGACCCTCAGAGCACTTGGGTATGTGCATGTGCATATGTATGTGCATGTGCATATGGATGTGCAATTACTGAGCCTCTGCTCTACTGGAAACATCAGATTTCACAACTTGAAAATAAATTTGGCTTTAAAGGTAGAGACTCTGCTAAGATTTGGGTGGATTTTTTTAAATACAGCTAGTAATAGAAGAAATACAAACAGATGTTTTCTAAGGAAGTACTACAGAAGCATTATACTGAGCATTGGTCTGTGTCCTGTAATGACTTTCATGTATAACGCAGCCCTTTCTACAAGCAGTTTTTAGCTATCTCTGAGCTTGGTGAGCTCCTTGACATAACGAGTTCCTCTGCAAGTGCAATAAGTTGCCCACAGAAGCTGTGGCTGCCCCATCCCTGGCAGTGTTCAAGGCCAGGTTGGACAGGGCTTGGAGCACCTTGCTCTAGTGGAAGGTGTCCCTGCCTGTGGCAGGGGTTGGAACTGGGTGAACTTTAAGGTCCCTTCCGACACAAAGCATTCTATGATTCTGTGATTCTAGATGTGTGAAGACCAAAGGATTATCTCATCATATAAATCTCAAATGCTTTGCAAACACAAGGAAAAATGTTTCACTGACTGGTTGGTACCAGTGGTATAGTGAGGCCTGTGATAGTAAGGTGATCTTGCTCCTCTACTGAGGCCATCCTGCCCCTCTATTCTTCTCTTGTGAGACCTCGCTTGGAGTATTGTGTACACCCCAACATAAAAAGGACATGAAACTGTTGGAACAAGTCCAGAGGAGGCCATGAGGATGATCAGGGGACTGGAGCACCTCCTGTATGAAGATAGGCTGAGAAAGTTGGGGCTGTTCAGTCTGGAGAAGAGAAGGCTGCGTGGAGACCTCATAGCAGCTTCCAGTATCTGAAGGGGGTCTATAAGGATGCTGGGGAGGGACTCTTCATCAGGGACTGTAGTGACAGGACAAGGGGTAACAGGTTCAATCTTAAACAGGGGAAGTTTAGATTGAATATAAGGAGGAAGTTCTTTACTGTAAGGCTGGTGAGGCACTGGAATGGGTTGCCCAGGGAAGCTGTGAATGCCCCATCCCTGGCAGTGTTCAAGGCTAGGTTGGACAAGGCCTTGAGTGACATGGTTCAGTGTGAGGCGTCCCTGTCCATGGCAGTGGGGTTGGAACTGGATGATGTTAAGGTCCTTTCCAACCCAAGCTGTTCTATGATTCTATGATATAATACCAAAAGGAGTCACAAGATTCATAACATTTATTTTTGTTTGCACATCTTTGTAGACTTTGTGTTATATATGCAGTGCACAAAATATAAGTCTTATGCTACCACTGTTCTGTTTCTGATGCAAAAGGGCTTCCAGAAATACCTTGAAAACCATTTTTAAGTAGCAATCTAAAAGGTTTTTGAAGTCAGCTTTGCTCAGGGTCATGGTATGTTCACAGAAGAACAGCAAGCTGTTTTTTCCTTGACTTCAATGTTAAAAATGCACAGAGACCATAACAAAGGGTAGGCTGACTCTCTCAGACCTGATTTTCCACTTGGTCTGGTCACCACCAGCTTAGAGCAAGCGGGCTCTGTGGTGTCTGGTGGACAGAGATCTTTGTACTTAGGGAGTGTGCAGTGGCTGCTGGTTGGTCCTGTGTTCCTCCAGAGATGGTGTGGATATGACTGTTTTCCTGGATTGTGGATACAGTTCTGTCCTGCCATTGTGTAACCTCTATACAATTTAAATTGTGTGTCCAAAGGAGGGCAATGGAGCTGATGAAGTGTCTGGAGCACAAGTGTGATGAGCAACGGCTGAGGTAACTGCGGGGTTTAGTCTGAAGAAGGCTCAGGGGGGACCTTATCACTTTCTAAAACTGCCTGAGAGGAGGTTGTAGTGAGGTGGGGTCAGTCTCTTCTCCCAAGTAACAAGTGACAGGACAAGAGGAAATGGCCTCAAGCTGAGCCAGGGGAGATTTAGATTGGATATTAGGAACAATTTCTTCCCTGAAAGGATTGGAACAGGCTGCCCAGGGAAGTGGTCACCATCCCTGGAGGCATTTCAAAGATGTGTAGATGTGATGCTCATGGACATGGTTTAGTGGTGGACATGGCAGCACCAGGTTAATAGCTGACTGTGATGATTTTAAAGGT